GGGGAAATCATTTTGAATTTTCCACGTATGGCTAGGAACACATTCTTCAATCAGTTTCCCCCATGTGAATGTCATCATCACATTAGTAACATATTTTCCCTTTTGTTATCAAACCCTAGGGAACGTTATTTCTCGGGTTCCTGGTGAGAGCGGGCCGACTTTGGATAGGTGGTTGCTATTCATAAACTACAGCGCGAAGCAAATTAGAATTTTGAGGTGCTGTTTCTTCGATGAGAGAGTGTGATTATAGACTACAGAACGTTTCTAAAACGTTGATGTCAATCGATTCACTCAGTTATCTTTTCGAAATATGAAAAATTTGTAGAGCGGCTAGGTTCACCCTGTAATGCATCGAATACCAACAAATTGGTGATCAGATGTTTTACTATAGTCTTATATTATAGTAAGTGCCAATTTGATATGCAAATGTGTGTTATTTTCTCCGAGATTAAACTATATCGCATATACAATGTTAACATTGCTATGAACATGTGATGTGATAAAAGTAACCTTTCGAGACTGTGATAGCGACAAGTTGTTCACTATCATTAATCCCGGAATAGAAAACGACGCACATTCTCCACATTTGCATATCAAAATGGCATGCACTATACCCTACAAATTTCTCCCCGCAGGTACATGTTCTATGGCTGTCGAAGAGGACGAGATGGTTATCGACGCTGTAAGATTGATATTGCTACGTAATAGGAACATGCCCCGTGTTAGATTTTGAAAGCTCGCAACGTTCGTGTGGTTGCATTTGACGACGTAGTCAACTTCGGCTCGGAGGGCTTCACTTCTTTTCGAGGAAAGCAATTTCACCCTAGTCTTAAGCATTCGAGGAGATTCTTTCCGCATGTGAGTGACAGTCTCGTCGGTTGAAGTTGATATTTTTTTTCTGGTAACAGGTTCACAATATGGACGGATTTTTCGTGTGCAAATTGCAAAAGTTCAGCAACGATATTCCTCAGCGTACGCCACTGCAAACTGGACTGAGACGGCAGATGCGTTTTTTGTGTTAGGTGTTAGGAAGGACCGTCGACCCACCGAAGCTGTTACGCACGCCTGGGGGGAAGACAAATGGTAATTTTGGAGCGTCTTCATCCGTTTTACGTGAAGTGGTGAAATATATTTTTCACTAGTGTTTTTCATATGCACGTATAGAACAAGTAAACTCAGCAGTTCTAATTTGATGATTCCTTGTGAGCCGTGTTGTTGTAGGCGTTTGAACTCAAGTTCACATACACATGTAGTTAAGGAAGACTCCTTTTTTTCAGGACTACCGAGTTTATGGATTCTGTGATGGACGACTTCCCTCAAGAAGAGGGTAAACTGCCGCCTCCTGAGGAAAAGAAAAAGCAGCTGAAGATGTCGAAGAAAAGACGGAAATTGGAGAAGCAAAAGTAGGAGTCGCGATGGCTTGGATTTCGTGTTGGAGTAGGAATTTATGTTCGCTTTCCTCAGCTGAGCTCAGGAGTTTCCGAAACTAATCCTACAAGAATTAGTACAGAAACCAATGAGAATTATCGAGAAAATTTTTCGAATTTTCATATTGTCACCAACACATGTAGTTGATCATGTGCATGTTTTCCCACACTGTTACGTCTTGGGGTTCTCAGGGCAACTCAGAAGGCTCAAGAGGAAGTAGAACCTAGCAAGGAAGGAGTAAGTTTGAAAATGCTCAATAATCGATCACCAGGGCGTGCGCTTTTTCCTTGAATATTACTATGCAGGTTCAGAAGGAGAAAGCGTTGAAGAAACGGAAGTTCCAAGTAGGATTGACCAGCCGTTATTTTCGACACTGTTTGATCTCAGAAAAAAGGGGGTAAGTCGAAGGCGTCCAAGGTTGCCTCCACGTGATCAACCCTTCGCTACTTACCAACGTTGTTGTCTATTACTAACGTAAATGATCTAGTACTACGATATTGTTTCTAGCTCCTCCACAATTGCTGATTGGTGTTTTAGTGACAATTGGATTTCATCGTAGTTTGGTCCTCTTCCTTTCGGCCGATCTCCGTATTAACTATGGCGAGCATGAGCGAAGACAGGTACTGCTCGGATGACAATAAGAAGAGTTATATATGTGGTGTAGATACTCGGGAAAGTCCGGAGTGTTCGATTCTTTGGATTCTGGTGCTGAGGGGGCGACTTCGATGGACACGGACTCGGAGTCTTCAGCTGCTACTCAGCCGGGAGCTCCCGCGAGATGTGAGATGAGCTCAGGTGTAGGGAGTTTCTTTTTATTGTTTATAATCAGCTATCGAGGGGTGGGTGATCTTCCTTACTGGACTCCATGAGGAAACGCAGGAGGACGACGTGATGGAGGTAAATTTTTTTTCGGAAAAACTCTCGCTGAAAAAATGTTCAGGTTGCGATGGAGTTTGGAGATGTTCGTAACTTGCATTTGAATCTGGATCGGCGTACAGGTAATCAGATGGGTTCATTTAGTAGGGGGAAAATACGCACATGGTCAACTACATGTGTTGGTGACAATATGAAATTTATGAGGAAATTCGCGTTGGTTTCTGTACATTTCTACCCTAATTAGTGAGGAAACTCCCAAGCTGAGGAGAGCAATACTGGGTTCACTGCTTTCAGGTTTCGTGAAGGGGTATTGTCTCATCGAGTATGAGAGTAAATCGGAGGCTTCAAGCGCCATCTCTGGTGAGGAATACCCTGCTGCTGCTATCATAGTAGGTGGCTGGTGCAGGTATGAGCGGAAAAATGATCTTGGAAACGCCGGTTACAGCTGACTGGGCCTTCGTGCGTCCGCCTCCGGTTGGTAAGTGTTGGTATAGGGGGGCGCAGGTTCGAATCTCCCCGGAGACGTTTTATCGTACAGGTTCAATGAGGGGTAGACGTCTGTAAGAAGAGCGAAGGGATTACAAAGTAGCAGTATGATACGCCGTTAGTATCTCACACATACACAAACTTTAGTTTTGAGTTACGTCTTGGGCCCCGCGATAGTTCTGTGAATTTCGCGAATTCGGAGGAACTGTTGGGAGTGGGAAAGCTCGCTACTTCAAACTAAATGTGTTCGAGAAGTCTCCTCACAGTAGGAGGAAATTCGACGGTTCTTATGCGTAAGCTTGTGCAATAGGAGGATTAGAATCGGTTTCCATGGCTGCTTCAGCGACAGATGAGAATGCCGGGTTGTCCACCGCGGTGA